CCGGCACCCCACCGATGCGATGGTGGGTGAGGTGATCTCTCAAGTCCCCCCGACCTAGTGGAGGCGGCCGGTTGGAGGCTGGGGGCCCCGTTGGGGTCGTTCCCGGTTGCGACGAGCTGGGTGCCACGGGAACCGTTGGTGTGGTCGAGAGTTGGATCTCGACCTTGTCATGGTAGCTGATCGCAGTAAACCACTGAATATAGAACACGCTTGAGCTGGTACAGCAGCTCTCAACAAGAGCACCAACATTATCTATTATCTATACATATATAAAAACAAATCAAAATGTTCTGCAAAAAATAGATTGTCAAATTTTCTTGTCCAAAATATCTTTCTAAATAGATTGTCAAATTTTTCTGCCCATAAATCTGAAGCAATAAGCATGTCAACATTTATTATTATTGCATTTACTTAGCCCTGCAAGCCGGGAGGTGCAATTTTTAATAACTTGTTTGGGCAGCCCTGTTTGGTAAAATGGCGGTTAGCTAATAGCTGTTAGCTGATTGTGTTAACTAGATGGTATAAATAGTTATAATATTAGCTGATTATAGAAAAGTGTTTGATAAATTAGCTGTTAGTTGATAGCTGTTTAGTATAATTTCTTTTCTCGAAAAGTTAATTGAAAAAGTTGCTTGGATTAATTTTTTTAATTTTAGCCTTTTAGAGTTGCAAAAAGCTAATTAACCAAACATTTATATTGATATTTTAACTAAATCAAACAATTAATAGTGATCAAATAAGTCAAAATTGACCTATAGGCCAATTTTTTTACCAAACATGGTCATTGTTTATTGTGCTAGTTATAATTAATTAGCATGCAAAAAAAAAAAAAAAGAAGAATAAAACATAAAATACTTTGGTGTTTCTAGTAGCATGAGAAAGTGTAAAACATATACTACATTGTAAATTAAAAAGAAATAAAACATAAAATACTTTGGTAATTCCCTTCTATTAAATAATGATGCAGCATTTGATCATGATAATAACATTATGGGTTTCGGATGGATTTTACGCGATGACATGGGATGTTTTCTAGCAGCTAAAAATGTCCAATTTGAGGACTCATATGAAGTGCAACAAGCTGAAGTGTTGAGCATGAGAGAGTCTCTTTCTTGGTTAAAAGAAACTGGTATGGGTAGTGTGGACGTGGAATCAGACTCTCAGCTTCTAGTTAATGCTATTTTTTTCTGTTCCATTTTCATTCAGCTTTTGGTTTGTTAGCAGATGATATAAAAGATTTAGCATCTATGATTAGGGATGTTAAATTTCGTTTTGTTAAGTGATCAGCGAATCGTGCCGCTCACATTGTTGCTAAGGGGGCCGTTTTTGAGTCAGGTTGCAGGGAGTGGTTCGATTCCCCGCCTTCTTTTCTTGTCGATTGTCTTGCTGATTTAATGAATTAAGTTTTTATCTAAAATAAAAAAAGAAATAAAACATAAAATACTTTGGTAATTCCATTCTATTAATGCTCATTTTAGCTCTCGATTATAGTGGTTTTATCCAATTTAGTCATTTACTATAATGAATTTATCCAATTTAATCATTTGACTATAATAACTTTTTTCTCAATTTAGTCATAAATTCATAAATTGATTTTTTCATACCAGAGGGAGTTTGAACTCCCGCCCTTTCTTAAGGGACAAGAGTGCACGGCCACTGTAATCCATAATTAAATTGATTATTAACTCATTTAAAGAAATTTTGTGTCATTAATGATGGTCGATTAGAATTTAGATGCAATCTTACTGATAATGTTCTGGTCAACCTGGAATGCTTTGGCCAGAACATCTGCAGGTATAGCCGGATTCGATCCAAACACATTATTAGCAACGAAGATAATCCCTCCTATGTTCTCGCCGCTGAAACACGCGACGGCGACGGCGCTGCCATTCCCAATGTTTCGCTGGAAATGGACAAGACCTTCCGGGAACACGAACACGTCGCCCTTCTCTAGCACTTTGGTGACGACGAGACGGTTTTCAGGGTTTGAGGTTATGAAACTGGCTTCAATTTTGCCGTCTAGGACGACCAAGATTTCGGTGGCGCGAGGATGAATGTGCGGCGGACTGAGACCCTGCGGGGCGAAGTCAACGCGTCCCATAGAAACGCCGAGAGTGTTGAGCGCCGGAATCTGGGCAGTGGTCACCGGAGTCGCGCCCGCTCCGAAAGAGTTGGTTGAATTGGCTCGCAAGTGAAGGCCGCTGAAGAAGAAATCGCTCGCTCGTACAAGGTTTGGGTCCTTGCAGGCCAAGCCATTCACTACCACTGCAACAGATCAATTGATGTTCAGGTGGTAGATATATATTAGGATCATAATAAAAATCAACTAAGAGTGTAAGAATTACACACAAATTGAGTACTGTCTATAAGAAATCTAGTACATTGTGTGACACTACCAGTGTTGCAAAAATCGCGCCTAGGTGCTAGGCGGCGCCTGGTGGTGTTGAGGAAAGCTGAAATCGGCCTCTTCTTTAACGGGCTGCCTAAGCAAGCTAGGCAGTCAAACCCCGTTTTTTTTTTTTTTTTGCAAATAACCCCCGGGTAGGTTGGGTAGGGGATCAGAGGGAGCCATTGCTCACATCGGGGCTCTTAAAGCTCTCCCGGGTCAAAACATAGTACGCTATGCCGTTGGGAGTGAGGATGGAAGGTGGTGAATACCATTGCTTAAGTCGGATCCTTTAAAGTCTTCCCGGGTTAAAACACAGTACGCTGTGCCGGTAGGAATGAGGCCTTGGCCTAAGGGTGGTTTAAAGGGTAGTGGGGCGAATAACCCCCTTAAAAAATTAAAAAAAAAAAAAAAATCAGGCGCCTAAGTGCTCCCTGGGAACCTAGGGAACGCCTAGCGTCTTTTTCAACATTGAACACAACATATTATATTCTTTATGGACAGTATTCAAAAAAAGATTCTTTATGTACATCAAACACTGGTTCTCCAACTTAATTAAAGACTATATTATACTGCAGTAAATTACATATTTTATATATCATACCCGGGCTAGTGGGGTCTGCAACACAGAAATCTTGAAGAGGGCTGGGGTCAGAGGCTGAAGCTACTATAAAAAGAGTTGCAAGTAATATTCCTCCTCGTAGCTTAACAAAATGCAAAGCCATTGAAGCAAGTTATATATATTCGCCTAGCTATATTATCTGATCAATCTATTTGCTGCAAGTTAAGTTTAACTTTGCCAAAGAAGTACGCATATATAGAATCGGTAAACTCTGACAATAATAATGATATATGGCTTATTCAACTGTCCGGCCGTACATGATAGATGCCCAAACGCCGGACAGATTTGTCAGGTTTGGAAAAGGTCAACTCTCCATTAAAACCATTCTAGAAGAACAAATCTCATTCATTAAAAAAATTAGATATAAATGAGATTAATTGGAGAGACTAAAAATGCTCCATGTGCATATTAGACAGACATTATGATGTCTGCATATTAAGCATGTATGTATATTAAGCATGCGTTGTGTGCAACATTGGGATATGATTAATATGCACACATTATAATAACTAATATGCACATGTCCGTTTTTAATACGTCCATAGATCTATTTTTTTAATACGCCCTTCAACTATGAGCCATAAATGAAATTGAAAAACTAAAAAAAAAAAAACACTTCAATTAAAACCCTTAATTCCTCATTTCAATACAATTTTGTCAATACTTTTTAAAATTTGAGTAATTAGATCAATTTGTAGATAAGTTCAAAATAATAACAGGTAAAATTATTTTATTTTTTTTCAAAAATAAATTTTTAAAAATAAAAAGAAAATCACATATTGCCGACTTCTCAATCCAGGGAGAAGCCGACAATTTTCTCTGTCGAACTGGACGAAGAAGTAGTGTTGTGTATTATGAAATGATTTGCAGGGAAAGTGAAGGGCTATTCATGGTTTGTTGTTAGAGACACGTTGAGGATTAGCGTTCTGTTGCCCAACAAAATCGTAAAATAATTGTCATTCTTGGACATAGTAAATGTATGGGGGATTGGTTAGATTGTGTTAAAGATTTATCCACAACATTATAAGTTTTTCTAAACTGTGTATGCTTTAATGTATATACATTGGTCAATATTTCTGATCGCTTTGATTTGCTTAGAGGCGTTAGAGAGGAATTGGGTGATAATGAATTCATGGAAAGAATGAAGAATGATGGATTCATAGATGTCAAAAACGCATGCAGAAGGAGAACTGATCTAATATGGTTTTTTCTTTGTTTAAAAAAAATATTGGAATTAAAATTAATTGTTTGAATTAAAAATACATTTTTACTGGTTACTTAAAGATAACCTGTTAATTAACTTAATTGCATACAAAAAAAGAGTTGAAGTGTCTAATTGAAGCTTTTCTTAGTTTAAGAATTTAATTACATTTTGGTCTATAATTAAAAGGCCTATTTGAAACATGTGGTGTGGTTGAGTGGAAGGAACTCATCCATCCTTAACCAAAGGTCATGGTTTGATTCTTAACTTTGGGTATGGAGCAGTTTTAAATCTTCAGGCCAGCTGTCCCAGAGTATATCCAAAAAAAGGCCTATTTGACCCTTATCACTTATTATTAACATCACCAAATCATCATAATCACTACCATATATTAGGTCACCAAAGTCGTTTAGGACGAAATTAAGAAAAATCACTATAGTCGAGGACGATTTTGGGTATTAACTCTATTATTATTATAACAAATCATATATTCATTTTAAGAAAAATGAACCAAACGTACAAAATGTAATTTCTTAACTTTCAACTAAACAAAAAATAATAACAATTTTTTAACATTCAGTCAAATACAAAAAATTGAAACATTTTTTTTTAAAAAAATATAAATTATTTTTCGAAAAATATTTTCCAAATTTTCAAACGTAAACTTGACAACAATAATATTTAAGAAATAGAGGTGAAAGTGGTATAATAGAGGAGTTGTGAACCTAAATGGGAAATAATTGAAATAGAAAATAAAATAAAATGGAATTGAGATGATGAGAAAGTGGGGCGGGCGAGGGCAATGAGCTCCACATATTAATATTTAAAAAACTTGGATCTCCAAAACCTCCAATGGCTGTTTCTCACTCTTCACTCCTTCCCATCCACTCTCTCACTTCATCCCCAACTCTCCTCCGTTCATCCATCGCCTCCCTTTCCTCATCCTCTATAATTCTTCCACCAAACCCAGAATTCCCCTTCTTCTCATCATTATGCCCTCCCAAGTTTCATCACCTCTTACACTTCCCCATAAATCATCACCACCACCATCCCACCTTGCTCTTCACTGCATTAGACTCTCCCCCTGTTGACACCCAAACTTTCCTTGCCACCATTACTGTTATAGCTGCCATTTCTCTTTCTCTCGTTTTGGGTCTCAAGGTACTCCATCTCTATTTTTTACTTGTTAGTATTATTTTGACCCTGTTTGGTAAAATGGCAGTTAGCTGTAGATGTTAGCTGATTGTGTTAATTAGAGGTATAAATAGTTGATAACATTAGTTGATTGTAAAAAAATGTTTATGTTAACTGATAGCTGTTTAGTATAATTTTTTTTTCTCAAAAAGCTAATTGAAAAAGTTGCTTGGATTAGTTTTTTGAATTTTAGTCTTTTGGAGTTGCAAAAAGCTAATTAATCAAACATTTATATTGATATTTTAACTAAATCAAAAAATTAATAGTGGTCAAATAAGTCAAAATTAACCTATAAACCAATTTTTTTACCAAACAGGGCCTTTTATTTTTTGTTTGTTTGTTACTATAACCACTGATATTCAGTATTCACATTGAATTTTGAACATGGCATATAACTTTTGAGAATTTCTAAGATTCTAATTGTCACAGAAGGCTTTTACTACCGGTACAACCAAGCGCACCGGTTATTATGGAACAAGGGTTAACTATATAGGGGCAACCCAATCAAGTTGATCGATAGTTATTTGGTAACCATAAGGTTTCAAGTTCATCCCACATAGGAGCGGTTGATTAACTTAGTTTGAGTTAATCAACCAAGGACAACATAGTCTAATAATTTTTGTCATTGGCTTTCAATTGGACCATAAATGGCCAATTGACTATTGACATTTAACAGATTTTGTCATCGACTTTCAATTGGACCATAAATGGTCAATTGACTATTGACATTTACTAATTTTAAAGTTTGGGAACTTTTAATTTGATCATAAATGGTTCATTGACTATTGATTTTGTTCCAAATTTGGTCATCTAGTTAAATATACATTTAGTAAACATTAAATTTAAAGGTAATAATGTAAAGATAGCAAATTGAGTTCATAAACTTAATACATTATGTTCATCATTAGTGGGAATATGAAAGAACATAATTTTACATTATTACCATTAATGTTTACTAAATAGATAATTTAAGTAACTAACTAAATTTGGAACAAAATCAATAATCAAGAGACTATTTATGGTCAAATTGAAAGTGGAGGGCGAAAATTGATAAATGTCAATAGTCAATAGACTATTTATTCTTTCAATTGGAAGTTCATAATAAAAATTGATAAATGTCAATAGTCAAATGGCCATTCTTAGAATTAACTCAGCCACTCAGGTATTTGTTGATGGGTGTAGACAATGAAAGTGTGATATTTTCCGTTTTGTAGGGGGATCCAGTTCCTTGTGACAAGTGTGCTGGCAATGGTAATTCTTGGTTCAATTTCTTGGTATACCAAAGAAACTAGAAAAGAATCATAGTCACAAAAGCAATACTACTTACTTTTATTTGGATGGGCAGGTGGTACAAAATGTGTGTTCTGCAATGATGGTAAAATGAAGATGGAAAAAGGATTGGTTGATTGCAAGGTTTGCAAGGGTGCAGGTATCTTTCAACACTTTAATGGATTGAAGCATTCTTTCTATTTTGGCATTTCAATTTCAATTTGATGCCCAAATTTGCATTTGCAGGATTAATACTCTGCAAGAAATGCAGTGGCTCTGGATATTCAAGAAGGCTATGACAACATATTCTCAAGATTCCCAGATTTTTCCAATGTTTGATGATGATTTTGTGAGGCCAATTCAACCATGCTATCTGAACAACACAAGAACAAGAGTGTAATTAAGTTGTCTCATGATATTAAGATGCAATTCAATTAAAATGTTTTTATTTTCCTGAGAAATTTGCAAAATAATAAGGTATTTCATCACTCATCATTTTCTCTTGGCAACAGTTTCATAAAAATTCCCTGGAACCTAAACTCTGCCCACAACAGTATTGGTAGAAAGTGTAAAGCAAATTAAAATTTGTAATCTTGTCTATAACAGAGCTCTGAAAGCTCAAACTGAAGCGATTTAACATTTTCCACATATATGTATCTAATGAATACCCCCTTGACTAGTTTTACGCAGAATTATCCCCCTCAATGAAAGGAATTGTGTGGAGAGGATAGACACCTTAAGCATGCAATAGCAATGATCACTCTTATGTTTTAGAGCACAAACCAGAGATTGAAGTCTTTTAGTTGAAAGAAAGGGCTTTATGAATTCCCTCCCATCATTCTTGCATATTGCTGACTGATGCAGAACTCTTGAAGCTCTCACAGCCTGGACAGTTGTGTAAGCTTTCATGAATGTAGATCTCACAATCAAGACAGAAGTGTTGTTTGCATTTTGGACAAGCAACACATGGGGCGGGTATGTTGCCTGCACCAGAAACCAGTTTCATAAGAGGCTAAAGAGCAGATGTTCAAATATTAGGTTCAAGTTCAGAGTAACACATTTCAATGTGTTGTGGAGATAACCTTAGCCAAGCTGGCTAAGGATACAAACTTGTAACTACAAGGTCACGAGTTTGAATCCCAGCCTCCTTGGTTTGAGTTGATCAGTTATGGGCAACCTAAGCAGTTAGGCTTGTTTCCTTGTGGTCCTTTGCCGGCTAGGATCACAAGGGGTTTACCCAGTGCACACCCTTGGGTAGTGGCTGCGGGGTTCCCTCGTCACCCCAAAATAATGTGTTGTGTATGACCAAGTTTGTGATGCATATACATAGGCATTAAGTTGTTGCAAGACCCAACAAAAGGATTTGAGGTGAAAATACTAGCATGGAAAAACATTTTAGTACTAATCATAAATCTATGCATACAACAGTTATTGGCATGAGAAAACAAAAGTACAAGAAACCTAATGCATGGTCTCAGAATTGGTGCACTCTATTCCATTATTAACAACTGATAGAAAAGGGATTTTGTCTAAACCAAGATTCCTCACTGCTTAAGTATCCAAGAAAAATATTTCAGCAAAAATACCAATTTGACCCCTATATTTTGCATATTTGATCAACTTTGCCCTTATCTTATTTCTCCTGGCAATATTTCAATAACATGGCCTAATTGCATTCAATTTAGTCCTTCTGTGAACTCTGTCAATATACTGTTAGTTAGACCCGACCTGGACACATCACCCTCCATATGTACAAGAAAAGAAAAAATAGGCAAAACCTCGTAATAAACTCTAAGACCAACCCTACAAATTAAAGAACAAGGCAACTACACATCCATGGACCAACAAGAGCTATAAGCGTACCAATGAAATATTCTGATTAGCTCAACCAAAGATGAACTTTCTTTAAACTCTAACCCAACAAAAAGGTCACTACTTTTAACAACCCAAACACTGTAGAAGTAGGTACAAGTGTGTCTCTGTATCTACGCAATTTATTCTGGTGTAGTTAATTTACTTGGCTTCAAGTAGAGAAGCTCAGAAATTATTGAGATGAGAACAAACAAAAATAAATTACCCAAAAAAAAAAAAAGTACAAAGAAGAGGGAAAAAAAAAGAGAGGAGAAAATAAGAGGCTAAAACTTGCCGAGAGAGTTGGTACAGAGATTTGATAGAACACAACAGAAAACCAAAAATTTACAGCAAGAAAAACCAAGAATGTTTCGTTCTTTTAACTAATAAATAAATAGATACATATATACATATACATAATGGAAGTTGTAATGCATATGGAGGGTAGATGGGAGTAAATGGAGGAGCGTGTCTGGAGTTGGAGGGAGAATTTGGAGAGGGATGCAGCAGGAGACGTTAGAAGGGTTTCTTGAGACTTTGCAGATTGATTAGGTTAGAAAGGGAGGATTTTATTTTTCTTTTTGTATTTTCCTTGTACAGGTGGAGGGTGATATGGCCAGGTTGGGTACTTGGGTTAGGTGGGTCAGGTCTAACTAACAAAGTTAATGGAGGCACTAAATTGAATGTAATTATATCAAGTTATTACAATCCTGGCAGAAAATATAAAACAAAATTGACTGAATATGCAAAACACAAGCAAAATTGGTATTTTACTATTTTTGCCAAACTATTTCATTGTTTGGTAATGATAATCATTTTTCTGCAAACCTTATAACTATGACTGACTTTCAAGTAGCATCCAGCTTCTAGTTACACCTAAGGACAAATCCAAATAGGTTGGACATTCACATGGAATTATGGAAAGCAACAATACTGGTGCACTGTGTGTGAGAAAAACTCTTAATAGTCAATACCATGTGGTTACATTGCTCTAAGTCACTGCACATTCATATACAGTAATTACCAACTTGAGAGCAAAGAAAAATAGTAACTGCTACAGTTTAGTGATTATCAAATTATGCACTTATATAAAAATGTATTTAATTGAAAATTTGATGTTGACTTACCAGGGTTTAAGAGACTTTGCCGGCAGCCAAAACAATTCTTTGGTACCTTTTGCAAATTGTTTTTAATAGAGGGTGACACCTCATCAAAAGGAGTGATAGGGAATAGGTGGTGGTATGACCTTGCCAAATGGGGAGAAGAAACAAGGGTCAGACCACAAATACAGCATTCAGTAGGCAGTTCACAAACACGTGCTTTGCATCTTGGACAAGTGTAGCCCCCACCAACTTTAGCCTCCTTATGGCAAGAACAGATTGAAATCGCACCTTCTGCAGCTCTTTGGGGAAAACCCATCTTGATCAAATTTGCAACTGCAAATTCTGCTATTGCTGGAGGTGGCGGAGCATGCTCCAGTACCAATTCTTTTATGTGAGCCTGTTCATGGATCAGAATATCACATAAATTAGATAAAACTAATGTGTTGACTATTCAGCATTATTTCAACTTGTTCAATTTATAGGCAATGGTCACAATTCATAATGTTCTTATTAGAAAAATCTAGAATGATGACATCTTTTTGGTATGTATAACTCACCTCATCCAATGCAACATAATACATTCCACCAGTTTCTTGGCAAAGATGCTTGCATATAAAGAGTTCAGCAGAGAGGCCAATAACTGAGCATCTTATCTTGGATTTCTTGCATTTCTGAATTGTTTCCATTATATCCCCCGGATCACAAGTATTTAGAGCCGAATACAAAATGAGAACTTCACGATGACCATATGATGGGATTTGATTTAGAAGATCATGCACAAGTTCAAGCCCATTCTGAAGTGAAGCATCACCTGAGCACTCCAACTTACCCATCACCGCTTTAATGTGAGCCTCTGGGCTGCCACCAAGATCTGTTAAACAATGAGCAACCCCATCTTTCAACATTACCAGGCCAATCTGACTCAAGGGATTCTGATCAAAGAACTCTCTAATAAAAGCCTCCACTTGTTTTGCAACCACAACCATTCTGCTTGGTTTATAATCCATTTCAGTAGCTGCCTACATGGCAAAAATCACGTAAACAATAAATTCACTTGAAGATATTGCATTCAGATTGACAAAATTAGAAAAATTCACTGCAATTGTACATTTTGCATCTCTAATATTTATTAAGGAGTATATTTTCTTCTTTAAAAAAAAAAAAAAAATTTGGTGGTGGTGGTGGGAGGTGAAAGAGTATAGATCAATAGAAAGTTCAAAGAAGAAGAAGACACCGCTTACTAAATGAGACTAGAATATCATTTGCAGGCTTACAGTACTTTCAAGTTTTCCCAAAGCTAGCCAATGAACCAACAAGCATAGCCACTTGAAAATGACAGCTTGCATTAAAGAACCAAAATTCCTTTCTCTTTTAACAGGATATCAGTAAGCTTTGGTATGCTAAATTTCCAAAAGGTGTGAACAATTGATTGAATATAATACAGACATCATATGAAAAAGTCATATTCACCAGTCGAGGGAAAACTTAAGATATAGAAATGCATAAAATAAATGTTGGCAACAGATCTAAAAACAGTGAAAACATATTAAGAAAGAGAAAGCTAATCATTGTTGGCAAGCATCTGTCAAATAGTCAATACTCAATAAAATTATTCCTAAATTAACAACAATATTTTGCATACCTTGGAGAAATCAAGTACAACATAAAGATAGCGAATCAGGCCCTTCTGAATTCGGGCAGCAGATGTAGTGCGGAGGCGCCGGCGATACTGAGCATGGTAGAGGGTTTTGTTGTCAATAGGGCGCAGGAGTCCAGATTCATCCTCTTGTAGAGACTCCCACGACCTCTCATCTGCATAGGTTCTCTCCCACGCCTCAAGACCTCTCCCAGATTCTTCTTCATCATCTTCGTCCTCTTCATTTGTATTAAATCGTCTTTCAGCGCCATTCATTTTTTCTGCAGAGCAAATTACTAAATCTTAGTGTCATTTAAAGTATTAAGACACTCAGGCACTCAGCATCAGTTACTAAGGAAGGTTGACACATTTGATACTTAAGCAGTTAAGCATACTTCAAGAAGTCCAGCCAATTAACATATATAGGAAGAGCTTCATGTTAAAATAAGATAATCAATACCCAAAGGCTCTCTTATAGTTTTTTTTTTTTTTTCCTCATTCAATTCTAACAAAATCAAAATAAAGCAAGTTTCAAGAACTTGGCTTCTGTTATTAATTGCCATAACAATAAGCACAGAATATAGTTATAAACTTAAACATTCTATGATTCTTAAATGATTAAAAAGGAAATGTCAAGCATGCAACACTCCAGCATCATACAGTGTATGGGGCCAGGAGTTGGAGCTGTAAAAGTTTTCTGCCATCTTACACCAGAAAGATTGATTCAAGAATGAACAATTATCATCTATTACTTTCAAGTTGTGATGTTATGACTGCGTTGGTTACAGTTAGAACCGAGCAGAAACCCTTTTCCATTTCCACCACTTCAGCTTCTAAGTAAACACTCTACAATCTGATTGGGCAAACACATTCAGAATAATTCTTTCAATTGACCTTCAAACTTGTACATCAATCATTCTATTGACTAAGCAAATAATAGTTTTTCTTGAAGTTCAAAAGCACCAAATGTTTAGTTTTTTTTTTTTTTTTTTTTTTTTTTTTAAATACTCAATTAAACAACTTAAAAAAAAACCAAGATACTTTCATAATCACATCCTCTTTCATAAAAAGAAACAAATGCGGCAACTCAGAATGATAACAAAGAATCAAGTTTTATTCAGTTTGAGCAATTTGCACAACCTCACATGAGTTTGCTGCATCCATACATAAAGAGAAGGGCTGTGAGATTTACCAATGCTGCTCTAGTGCAGGGCTCTGGATAACAGATAGCTGCAACACTTCAATGAGAGGGAAAGACACTTACAATCCTCAAACCTTTACTGCCACTTAAAAATCGTTCCTGAGCATAAAACACCCAAAGCTGTCATTTTCAAACAATTGAACACCAAACCTTCCGTTTAACTCTAGATAGAAAATTGGGCCATGTGCCGTGCATGTACTATGCAATTTTTTAAAAGCATTTGCAGAAATTAAACAAATGCTCCATTATAGGCATTATACTTCATTCGGGCATTTCATCGAACAGTTCAAGAATCTCATCATATCAGCGCTGCCTACCTTGTACCTCTCAATGCTGGCAAATTTCTGGAGTATCCGCGGATACACCGCAGTAGATGCCTTGGGGTTTGTGCGTGAAGCTGCAAGGAGATCTCTAGTAGAACTAGGACAAACAAACTGATCTTTTGAGCGCCTTGAACTTTAGACAACTCGAAAACTTTCAGGGACGTGCCTGTTTTACTCTCGGGTGTTCTTGCAAAGAATTATCGACTAATCGATGGCACCTGCTCGATCCAATTTACAGAAAGAGAAAGTGAGGCTTAGAAAGGGGGGAGGGGCTTGGGATGGCGAGAGCCGTAGGGGTGCAGGTGGTTCCGAAAGAGGAGAGGGATCGGGCAGCGCCGCCGTTAGTACGTATGGATACTTGATTGCCGGCGTTTCCCGTGCTGGAGACGGGAGAGTAGCCTGCAGCGGAGGGCATAGGAGTGATGGCTAAAACGTAAATTTGCACCCATCTTATATGAGTTATATCAATCTCATATTTTGAGTATTAGGACTCCTGTATTTAAGTCATAGAGGTGTTTGACAAACTAGATATTGTCTCGTGAGATACACGGGGTAAATACAATTTTAATAAAAATAAAGTGTTGTTGTCACAAAAAAATGAAAATATTATCGAAAGAAAGATTAAATTATAAATTATTAAAAATTTCATTGTGAACTACATTAGTAGTTGATGGTTTCTGGGTTTTCGGGTCCAAGGAGGTCCAACACAATCTTTAGCTGGAGGATACACCTTTCAGTAAAAATGTATGCCTATACTGGAAATAATGCTAGCGCTCGGAATCTCTTTCGTATTTTCCCCTCTCCGGGTATTCAGTCGTCTCCCCCTTTACAAGAGTGGAGGAGCCTTTAAATAGTGGCTCCTCCCCTACCGACTTGAAGGCCTTTAATGGCCGACTTTAAGACTAATCAAGGTGTGGAGCCGTTGGACGCCATTACTCGGCCGACCAACGGCTCTTCTAGGCTTGTAACAGCCTGACCGGGTCCTGCTTTCAATGTCCTAACGGCTCCCCTTTTAAACGAGCCTCTTCAATGCTCTCAACGGCTTCCTTGAACCGAGTCTTTTCCTGGGCTTGGGCCTTGGTCGACTCCTCGTCTCAGCCTAAGCTCCCACTAGGCCCCTTTTTAGCAGTTCTGACCCGGGCCCCGTGCCTGGGCCTGGGCCGACTCCAGGACTCGGCCCAATTGCTCTTCGGGCTCCTCAGACGCTGGCCCACTTCTTCTGTCTTGAACCATTTCCTTTGGGCCCCTATCTCTTGGCCCAGGGTCCTTACCCCATCAACTAGTCCCTCACTTTTTCATACCCGGTACGCTAGCCTGGGTTTGAAAAAAGTAGCAATGGTCCATCTCCTTCAATCACCGTATCCACGCCTTGAATAGCCTTTTGTAACGTCCGGATCCTCAGCCATTCTCTCCGGATCTCGCGGGGCAGTTTGGATTCTTGGCACTTATAAATGGCCTCCTCCCTTCTCTCTTACCTTCACAAGTCTATCATGGGTCGTTCTCCTCTGAAAGGAAAACGGATTGACTTCGGGTCTCCTTGGCGTCCGCTGCCTTCCAAGCGGACTCGGCCTGAAAGAGAACACAAAAAGAAGACTTATCGCCCGGCCTCTCAGAGGTCTCCTGCCGGCGCTACGTCTTCGGCTTCTCAACCGCCGACTCCTCCTCGACGCGAGGTCGCTCTGCCTTCACGCCATCCGCCTACTCCCACAACTGCCCGAGTGATTTCCCAAGACGGGTCCTTTGTTGAGGTGGCGGTTCCAGAGCAACTTACTTTCAAAATGACCTTCTCAATTCCGCTGGACGACCTGGACGGGCCGGTTACGGGCCTGATGAATGATGTGCTTTTCTGTCCGACCCTGCATTTTCTTATTATTTTGTCGCCCGACCTCTGATCTACGGGACTGATGCTACGGCGAGACCCTCTTGGCGAGAGAGTCGCCGAGTCTGCTCGCCGACCTGGCGACTGGAGTCTTTTTGTGAACTTGGCTGATATCATCTGATGGGCCGGGTTCTACCGGGTCGTTCTAGAAGTTTCTAGCTCATACCTCATGGGCCCAGAGGCCATGGCCTATGATGGGCTTCCGGCTTAGCAGGCCGGGTCACTGACGCCTGACCCTAGCCTAGGGCAGACGCGCCGTCTGCAAGCTAACCCTAGCCCTGAACCGTCGCCCCGCCTTTTGAGGCATTAAATGCGGTGTCTCTTCACATCCCGTCACCTCCACTTCCTCCATCGAGAAGGTGACACGTGGCCGTCCTTTGAAATTCCTCCCCCTTTAAATAGCCATTTTGTTTCTTTTCCACTCTCTTCTCCAGTCTTTCTCTTCACTCTCAACTCGAGCTTCTCCGGCCATTCTGCGTTTCCTCCGATCTCCCACCTAACTTAGGTAATGTCTTCCTCTTCACATTCCTCTTCTTCCCGTCGTTACTCGGTCGATAACCCGGTGGCGACCTCCCCCTCTTCTTCTTCTCCTTCTTCGTCTTCTTCTTCTCCTCCCCGCCGTATGGAACTTCCGGCGGACGTTCCATCGACGTCTTCTGTTCCTCCGACCCCCTCTTCTTCGGGGGCGGTTACTCCGCTGAGCCCCGCTCCTTTAACGACGGTGGCGGCTCTGCCGGGTGGCATCGGACGGCCGCGAGGCAAGTTTGATTCCATCGTCCGTCCTTCCGGGCCACCGTCCATCGTTAATGCGGTGGACCTGGAAATGGCCCAATACCTTCTCGGGCCTTCAGCCGTAGTCCTCGCCCCGGAAGGCCGGCAAATTTACGACCCCCCGAGGGTTGTGTCGGCATTCACCTGCACTCGGTTGCCTTTGGCTTCCGAGTCCCTCCGTGTCCTTTCCTTTCCCTTTTTTATCGCCATTACAACTTAGTTCCGAGCCAACTAGTGCCCAATTCTCACCGACTCCTCACCTGCTTCGTCAACCTCTGCCACTGGTGGTTGTGCGAGCCGGATCTAGACCTGTTCCGGTATCTTTTCATCGTGAACAAGGTCGGCTCGCACTCGCCGAGCTTTGTTCAAGTTGCCGCTCGCCCGGGGCGACAGCTTTTCGAGGGGTTGTCCGATTCCATTAAGGACTGGAAGCTCCTCTACTTCTTCGTCCGGCCTGCTTTTTCTTCCTTCACCTTTCCGACCTTGTGGTCGGCCACTCTATTCAAGCCTTGCTCTCGGCGTGCCGTCCCTTCCAATGATGCGGTCCTGGGCGGCGAGTTCTTGAAGGGCTTTAGGCCGTACTCCGTCAAGTACTGGTCCCGAGTCCGGGCCATGGCTAAGCGTGGCTTGCTGCCGGAGGGTGCGGCCACCGTAGGTAGTCTTCGTTGCCTCTCGTTTCTTTTTATTCTGTCACATTCCGACTCGGAATACTTATGATTTTCCCTACTTTCGCAGGTCCGTACGACTCCGACTCCTCCAGTTCCGACGAGGCCGCTGAACCGACTCCGGAGATGACGGACAGAGCCGAAAAGATGAGGCGTCGGTTGTCCCAGCGTACTTCCGGCACTGCTGCTGCCTCTTCCTCCCAACCGTCTCCGGCCCCAAGGTCGACTCCCCCACCACCTCGTAATGTGGTGGATCTGACTCCGTCGCCAGTTGTGTCGCCCACTCGCCAGCCGCCTCCTCCTCAGACAGAGAGTCCAGGCTCTAAGCGTCTGGCCGGTCAAACTGGTGGGCCGACTCCGAAAAGGATCCGGCTGTGCCACGAGGTAGAAGAGGATGCCCAAATCTGGATGGGCGCCTCCTCCGTCCGCAAGTGGTGTACCAACGTCCTTCTGCCTAAGGACGTGGCGGTGACTCATGCTCTGGGGGATGAGTATATCGTCGAGGCCTCGCTGCGCCAGTCGTACCGCGTAAGTGTTCTCGACTTAATTCCTCTCATTCGTTCTTTCCTTTTATTATCTGACTCGTGGCCGTTTCGCAGAACCTCACCTTCCAGATGGAGATGAGCAAGCGGCTGCAGAACTACAGGACCGAGACGCGGTCTATGGCCCTCAAGTTACGCCAGACGGAGGAGGCCTTTCTGGAAGAGCAGGCGAAGCACCTCAAAGTGGTGGAAGTGTACAACTCCGAGATGCTGAGGGTCACCCGGCAGTGGGAGGAGGAGCGGGACAAGGTGGCGACGATCGCTGTGACCTCCGTTGAGGCTTACAAGAAGTCGGCCGCCTTCGAGGCGGATGTGAAGGCGGCGATAGAGGCTCGCCAAAAGGGAATCGCCAAGGAGTGGCTGTCGACGCCCGGATGGTGACGAGTTCCTCCTGGACTTGGGCGAGCGTGACTATCGCCTTGGCTTTCGCGAGGCGCAGACGGAGATCCACTCTGCCTTGCTGGTCCGCGACTCCTCTTTCACTCCCGAGGGCTGGGGCCTCAAGCCCGTGATAGATACTCTTCCGGCGACTGAAGGACCGTCGGCGACTGTTGACCCGGCAGTTCTTCCGGCAGCCGCTGATTCGGCGACTCTTCCTTCAGCAACACCTCCTGAGCTCGCCGAGTCCGCTCTTCAGGCTGAGGACCCTTCTTCTGTTCCCCTAGCTGGACCAACAGCAGGGGTTCAAGTTGAAGGGATTGATGTCGACACCCCATTCCCAGTAGCTTAGGGCTATTCTTTTAGGATAGTCCCTTTTTGTAAAGGCTGGCCTCCTTCTCGGGCCTTTTTTTTTAAATTTTAATAAAATTCCCATTTTCTCTTCCTTTTCGTATTATCTTGGGCTCGACGCTTTTCTTTAACCTTGTTTCTTTAATTGCTCGCCGAGTCCCTCAGTCGAGGCGACTCCTCATGGCTTTTCCACGGAAACGACTAAGGGTCTGGGCCCTTGTTTCCTAACTCTTTCTCGCCGAGTCCCTCAGTCGAGGCGACTCCTCTTGGCTTTTTCACGGAAACGACTAAGGGTCTGGGCCCTTGTTTCCTAACTCTTTCTCGCCGAGTCCCTCAGTCGAGGTGACTCCTTAGGCTTTTTCTTTCTCAGAAACGTTTAGGGTCAGTGCCCAGTTGTTTCTTTAAATACTCGCCGAGTCCCTCAGTCAAGGCGACTCCTCTTGGCTTTTTTCACGGAAACGACTAAGGGTCTGGGCCCATGTTTCCTAACTCTTTCTCGCCGAGTCCCTCAGTCGAGGCGACTCCTTAGGCTTTTTCTTTCTCAGAAACGTTTAGGGTCAGTGCCCCGCTGTTTCTTTAAATACTCGCCGAGTCCCTCAGTCGAGGCGACTCCTCTTGGCTTTTTCACGGAAACGACTAAGGGTCTGGGCCCTTGTTTCCCAACTCTTTCTTGCCGAGTCCCTCAGTCGAGGCGACTCCTTAGGCTTTTTCTTTCTCAGAAACGTTTAGGGTCAGTGCCCCGTTGCTTCTTTAAATACTCGCCGAGTCCCTCAGTCGAGGCGACTCCTCTTGGCTTTTTCACGGAAACGACTAAGGGTCTGGGCCCTTGTTTCCTAACTCTTTCTCGCCGAGTCCCTCAGTCGAGGCGACTCCTT